TTGCCTAATCTCATTTACAATTGGTTACTCTCACTTTCAGTTGAAGCTTTCTCATTTAAAACTCACGATTTTCAATTGACACTTTCGCTTTTACAATAACCAGAAATGGCGTAGGTTGATACAGAGTATTCTTCTGTCCATCTGTTTGTTTGGGGGCGCCTAAAATACCGGTTGGACAACACTGCCCTATGATGTTGCAGTGCCAATAAAGAATAAGAACATATTTTATTTTATTATTAATTAATTTACATTTTTAGAGTTAAGTGTTATTAAAAAAGTCTACACCAACTATTATTACATTTAAAAATAAATGAAGATAATAACTGAATTAATTAAAAAAAAAATAAATAGAATGAAAATTTGGCTGGCCTTGGGACTCGTTAATCCGCATTACTGCATCAGTTAGGGTAAAATTTTGATCGGATCAACTGCGACATTAATCCGGATTAACATTGCCGTCTCTCAATGCTTTAAGGTAAATAAAATGCTATAGATACATAAATATCTGCTGTTAACTACTCTGCAAACCATTTTTACAGAATATTCTGAATTGTAGAGAAATTTTAAAGAATTCGTAAAGATCTCCTCCGATTTTTTGCCGAATTTTCTAAAATGAAATAAACTGTGCACACTTCGATTGTTTTACGAAATAGCGAAAGAAAAACGTAAAGATTCCATTATTTTCTTTCCGATTTTTTGCCGAATTTTCTATGATGAAATGGACTGTGCACACTTCGATTCTTTTAAGAAATTTCGGAAGAAAATCAATAATAGGCATGTTTTATTCAACCATCACAAGCAAATAGCTAAATCTTGGTCAAATAAAACGAAATTAGCTTATTTCCTATGTTAGCCTAATTTTGACAGTTGTTTGACTGCAAATAGTGTCAAAGTAAGTTTTTGCCTCTTTCTGATTGGCTTAAGGAGAAAATTTCTGATGCTGAATGGCAATGCCTCTTGTTCAATATACAAGCCAAGCTTTTCATAAGCCAATATAATTATGTTGGGTAAGACCTCCATACAAAATAAGCTAATAGCTTAAATTTCTGGACAAATAAAACACGGCTAATGTAATTATAATAATGTCACAATCGGCATTGAAAATATAAAATGATTCTGACGCACAAAAAAAAATATATATATATTTTTTTGTGATTTTGTGCTATAAACGCGTTTATTTATAAAAACCGAAATTTAAAAAAATAAGAATAAGCCAAAAAGGTAAGTTTAATATTGCGATTAATGCTGCTATTTCATCATTAACTAAAATACCACAGTAATAACAAGCTAGATGAAGAATTAAAAGAAAACAACCGACTGCGACTTCATGACAGAAGAGTTCGTAGGTCTAAGACACAAAGTAGAAATTTCTCTGCAGGAAAATAAAAAACAGAGAACAACGCTATTACCACAACTACCATTGACCACGAAGGATGCAATATTTGATTTTGAGCGGAGCTTGAAATCAAGTGATGACATGCGGAAGGAGCTAGTAAGTTCATATACATACAGCTAAAAATTAAATGTATGTACCCAGCAAAAAATCGGTAATCGCTTTTAGTGGTAACGTGTTCTAGAAGGCATAGCGTTATAATGCCCTCGAATTTTTTCGCTTCTTTTAGGCATTGCCGGTAATGCAAAGAAGAATGTCCAACAATATTTTATTTATTTCGCTTCTTTGTTTGATTTCGGCGAATGCAAAGCAGAATGTCCTATAATATTTCTTTTTTAATTCGTTTCTTTGCTTCATTTCCGGAAATGCAAAGTAGAATGTCCTCCAATATTTTATTTGTTTCGCTTCTTTGCTTCATTTCAAGGAATGCAAAGTAGAATGTCCTACAATATTTTTTTTTATTTCGCTTCTTTGCTTCATTTCGGAGAATGCAAAGTAGAATGCCGCATCGTAGTCAGCTGAAAAATAGAATGAATATTCAAAAATTCTTTTTCTACCGTTACTTTATGTGGAAATTTGTCTCGCATAATAATCAGGTTTTGCTTTGTTCAATTTGCAGCGAAGTTGAAGTCAGTCAATGAAGTGAAGTACAAGAGAGAGGAAGTACAATTTTAAGCTTAATTAAATATGCATGTATGTACATACCGATTTGTAAGAAAATCTAAATACCTAAATAAATACATATGTATGTATAAAAGCTGATTTATAAAAATTTTAATTAATTTTAATCGTTTAAGACATTTTCTGATTTCAATTAATATAAATAAGTATGTACTTATATAGGCATTCTACATTTGTTTCTCTGTAAGGAATCTTTGTTCGCTTCTCTGGATTCTGTTTATCCATGCGTTCTCCCTTCGTTTGAAGGTAATGCTGCGGGTAAGGGCTTACCTCCAATGACATGCCCATGTTAAAATAAGGCCTTCTTGAAGCGAGAGGGTAAGCGATTCCCATCGCCTGGCTCGTTTCCACTTTCGTTTCTGTGGTAATCGTGTTTTTTGCTGGGTAAGTACTAGCAGACCCGGCGAACTTCGTCGAGCCCAAAATTTGTATGTATTTTATTGAAACTTTTTGGTCCAACATTTTCACCAACAATTCACGTTTACGATTTTCATTGGCACATTTGTCTGGTAAGATTAAGGTTTGGTGGTCATTTGCCGCTTTAAATAACCTAAGGAAAGTGTTATATCCGTTCTTGAAATTCTCCAGTTGTGCGGCATTACATAGCACGGTTATTCGCAAAGCGAAATAAATTTTTTCCTCTTCACTCCCTGGCGGCAACAATGACCAGGTTCTATAGTGAATGTCCTAGAAGATTTACAGTATAGTAGGTGGCAATTTCAAAATGGGTGCGAATCATTGTTCTACAGAAATACAATATACATATACTTATTTCAGACGAAATACCTTAAAAGTTTGAACGCATATTGGAAAATCACATCCATTGGGCCAATTGCAACGCAGAAGCGTTCGATATACTCAATGGTGCAACAGGTCGATTTAATCTGACCTTCACGGCCCCTTTTCTCACTTGGCTATTTTTAGTAATAGCTCGACTTCAGCACCACTTGGCAGCACGTTTTTGCAATAGTATTGCATACATATTTAAAACATTAGCCAAATCGGATCATATATAAGATTTTTAGTAATAACTCAACTACAGCGCCAACTGTCGGATTAAATTGTGAAACTAAACCATCCAGAGACCCACTCAAATACACAAAAAGTTTCGTTAAAATCCGTACAACCATTTAGGAGGAGATCACTCACAAACACACCTACAGAAGAATAAAAAAATTCATTCAAAGATAGCTAAAGGTCGGTACGTTTGTAGGCCTCACACCCCTTTTCAAATAGCCCAAATTTTCTCCATGAGTTTGGGCTTGATTTCAACTATATACATATCTCCATACGAAGCTCCATGAATACTTTCAGAGATATGCAGTATAAAAATTCAATTTATATGTGAGGTGCCACGCCCCCCTTTCCAAGAGATGCCCTCTTTCTTCATGAGTATGCGATTGATTTCGTATATCTCCATACCAAGTTCCAGAACTCTACCATGAACACTTCCAAAATAGGCAGTATGAAAAATTCGGTTTGTATGGAAGATGCCACGCCCCCTTTTCCAATAGTTCCAATTTTTCTCCAAGAGTATGCGATTTATTTCGTACATCTCCATACAAAACTCTAGAACTCTACCAAAAAATTTCCAGAGATAAGCAGTATGAAAAATTCGGTTTGTATGGGAGATGTCACACCCCTTTTTACAATAGCTAAAATTTTTCTCCAAGGGTATGCGATTGATTTCGTATATCTCCATACCAATTTCCAAAACTCTACCATGCACACTTTCAGAGATATGTACCATTAAGCTGCCTCATAGGCAAACCAGCAGTTTGTAATTATTGGGGGTCAAGGCTCTTGATATTGCTTCATACGTGTTGTAATGTTCTGAGTCAGGAGCGGATGGCTCAAGACCGACCATACGTGGCGACGAGTCACACCCTGCGAGAGGTGCCCCTGCTTTTACTGAATATGGCGGATCTAGAGAGGACAACTCGATAAAACCCGTAATTCCGAGTGTCATCCGTACCGTGCTTATGGGATGAATGGCACTACGTAAGTGTGTCTTATAACGGTGGCCTCCAGATACCTGGCGCTCTCTGGTTGTAAGAAGTCTTGCTCGGGATATTGGGGGCTATGTCCCAGCTGACATCCCTTCCCCCATACTCGTGGGACACACATGAATAGTAAAAACAATATAAATCAAAAGCCAGAAGGAGCTGCACAGCTCCAAACAATGGCCAATGCTGGCCTTTCGACTTCTGTCGAAACAGAAACCATCGCTACAGAACTACTGGGGGCGCATAGTCCCTCGTATGACGTAGAGATGGTGGATACTAGCGTGAGACAGGATGCAAGTCCCGTCAGAACGCTATCTGATATCTCGCCGGAGGATGAGCAGAAGTTGCTTGCCTCTCCGGTGAACAACCCATCTCACCAAGCTCGAGAGCGGGAGCGGCTTAGCGGAGCCGGTCGGAAACGCCTCAAGCGGTATGTTGAGAAGCAACCCTGCATCTGCAAAGCACATAGCATGCAACGGCCACCCTCACAGTTTTTGACATTTTCTTTTTGATAGATTATTTTCTCCGGAAGTTGGGTTCGTTTTGCTGCGCTCAAGAGCTGACCTCGTGTTAATTTGCAAAATACTTATCAATTAAATTGTATAACCTCAAATAAACTTTATTAATCGATATTAAAGAAACAAAACCTGCGCTTCTTTTGATTTCAAACATTGGCAACCCTTGCCGGGAACTGTGCGACAGTTTCCATAAAATTATCAATTAAACTATAACCTCAACTGCACTAATAAGTATGGCCTTGCAAAGGGAAGAGGCCACCGCAAAGCTCATTTTGAATTTTTCGGCAAATACGCGTAAGGTGGCAAAGCAAAAGCAGACAAAAGGTTTTCTTTGTTGCCCGAAAACGCTTACTGGAGGACTATTGGGCGAGATATACCACTACGTATGACGAAATCTTGACCATGGAGTCCACCAACGAAAATGAGGCGAAGCTGGCACGTGTCTTAAGTGGAGATTATTTCGGCAACATAGAGGCTGTTTACTGCGAAACTATTGGTGAGCTCAATGATTGCATTGATGAGTTGACGGCTGCTATTCAACCTGCCGCAAATTCAACTCAGTCAATAACCTATGAATCACAGCCGGCTTCGATAGCCGCACCAAAATCAATTTTACCGAAAATAGAACTTCCGAAGTTCGAAGGTACATATCAAGGGTGGCTGCAGTTTAAAGATATGTTCACTACAATTGTAATAAACGATGCAGCACTCTCGAATGTACAACGATTACATTACCTCAAAAGCTGTACTCAAGGTGAAGCGCAAAACCTGCTGAAAAATATACCGGTAACCGACAACAATTTCCAAATTGCTTGGGACATTTTAACTAACCGATTTGATAACAAGAGGCGCCTTGTTAAAACATTCTTACAAGAAATAGTTCGAATTCCACCTGCCCAAAGTGAGTCTGCAGCTTCGTTGCGTAAAATCTTAGACAGTATAGCTGAGGCTCTTCGCGCCCTTTGCCAACTGGGGTGTCCTACTTCGCATTGGAACGACTGGCTTATATTTTTGGTTACAGAGAAACTGGATCCAATCACTATAAGAGATTGGGAAATATCACTTTCATCCCCAAATTATATTCCAAAATACGACGAGTTGGTTAAGTTTCTCGAAGCTCGTATCCAAGGCCTAGACACCATGGTAGACAAAGCGAATTCAAGGTCAGGGGACAACGTTGGTCGACGAAATCCATCTTCAACGCACCACTCAACCGGCAACGCGTCGCGTTGCAGCAGTTGCTCTGGAAAACATGCTCTTATGTTTTGTCCAGACTTTCGAAAACTCTCTTCGTCATTAAAACTTAATTTCGTCCAAAAATCTAAGCTGTGCATGAATTGCTTAAAACCAGGGCATGTGGTCAAAACATGTTCATCCACATATTTATGTCAGAGGTGTCAACAAAAGCACCACACTATGCTACACGACGGTCTACAAGCGCAATCAGGCGTAGTCGCATCCCATCACTCACGTTCGTTTGAAGCTTCTATATCAAACCCGGGCCAAGTAGTGCTTGCTACAGCCCAGATTGAGGTAAGTTCAGCGACTGGTCATCGCATGCGACTCAGGGCGCTATTAGATAGTGGCTTTCAAGCCTCATTTATCAGTGAGTTTGCTGCACAGCAGTTACACCTACGACGCACCCGACTTAAAGTGCCTGTTACGGGAATAGGTTGCTCATCGGTCGGAACGTCCACTGGTATGGTCGAGATTACCGTGCACTCTATACGGAAATCAGATTTCAACATTCGATGTTCAGCCTTAATACTGCCACAATTAAGTCAGCAGCTACCGAGCTCTCCCATGGATCCCACTCATTTCTCCAATTTTAAAGATCTAAGTCTTGCAGATACCCAATTTTATCAGCCCGGGTCCATAGATGTTATTTTGGGGGCTGATATCTATGGGCACCTTATTTGTGGCGAGATGCGGCAGACCACGACTGACGCTCTGTTCGCGTTACATACACAACTAGGCTGGGTTATTCTCGGACGCTATCCGGAATCAACGGACCAATTAAGCGCAAAACTGTGTGCTTCAACAATTACGGAGCTTGATGAACTGGTTAAAGACTTATGGGCCTTTAACTCGTGCGAAAAGGTGGAGTCGTCATCATGTCTGACTCTCGATGAACAATACTGTGAAGAGTTTTTCGAGCAAACCGTACGCCGGACCTGCTCCGGCCGATATATCGTCCGCTACCCATTTCGTGAACAAGCAAATCTCTCCGTTCTTGCAGATAGTAAGTTTGATGCCGTGAAAATTTTTCATTATCAGAATAAGAACCTTGCAAAAGATCCATATTTGAAAAATCTGTACGAAGAATTCTTGTCTGAATATTTACGCCTTGGACACATGGAACCAGTTTACGAAGAGACAGAGCCATCTAATGTATGCTACATTCCACATCATGCGGTGTACAAAGAGTCCAGTTCAACTACCAAACTAAGAACAGTTTTCAACGCGTCGAGGAGAACCCGCTCTGGTGTTTCTTTAAATGATTGCCTACTTGTCGGTCCAAAGCTTCAAAATGACTTGTCATCGATTATACTAAGATGACGTATGCACAGAATTGCTTTTATGGCTGACATAGAAAAATGCTTCAGGCAAATTATGGTAGATCGTGAGGACGCTGATATGCAGCGGATAGTTTGGAAAGACTCAGAAAACAACATGTGCATTTACCGCCTGCTTACTGTAACATATGGCTTGAATTGTTCACCATATCTGACTATAAAGGTTCTCCATACCCTAGCCGAAGATGAAGGTGGTGACTGTCCCCGAGCAGCTGCAACTCTGAAAGAATGCTTCTATGTGGACGATTGCTTAAGTGGTACAGATACGGTTGGAGAAGCTGTACAACTGCAGCAACAAGTCCAAGAATTATTACTTCGTGGTGGATTTACCCTCCGAAAATGGAACTCCAATTCTTCGGACTTCTTACAAGGGATAAGTGGTAAAAACTGTGGGCATGACGATTTGTGTGATTTGAGCTTAGACCGTAATACCAAAGCACTCGGTATCTACTGGTCATGCAACGAGGACGTCATCGGGTACACTGCCAAAGAAAACCCAGTATCTTCTAAAATTACTAAGAGGCAGCAACTTTCCGACATAGCAAGAGTTTATGATCCCACATGTCTCCTGGCTCCGGTGATTATAACGGGAAAGCGTGTGTGTCAAGACTTGTGGCGACGTGGTTGTGCGTGGGATGACCCACTACCTGAACCACTTCAAAGCGAATGGCAGAGATTTCGCAGGGAACTTCCTTTGATCAACAAGATCAAAATTCCTCGATGGACTTTCTCAACAGCTGATTCGTCTGAACAGCTCCATATATTTTGTGATGCTTCTACGGCAGCCTATGCAGCCGTGTCATATCTACGAGTGGTTCAGCCGAGTGGAGATATCAAAGTATCAATACTAATGGCTAAAACAAAGGTAGCACCGTTAAAAATGCGTACCATACCTCAGTTGGAATTGAATGGAGCATTACTTGCTGCGACCCTATCCGCGAGAATCCTGGATGATATTCAACGAAAGGTTACGCAAACGTTTTACTGGTGTGACTCCAAAACGGTGCTTAGTTGGATTCGGTCCGACCCCGGTCAGCATAAGCAATACATCGCTAATCGATTAATAAGGATTCAGCAGCTAACTGGCGCCAAGGCTTGGAGCTACGTTCCCACTTCCTCAAACCCGGCTGATGTTGCTTCTCGCGGCATCTATCCAGCTGAACTCGAAAAACTTAGTATTTGGTGGATGGAACCGTCCTGGCTACAGCAAGATAAATGCTTTTGGCCAGCTGGCATTTCGGTTGAGCAGACGATCTCAACGGATGAGCATGATGTTCAGGCATCATCGCTTTTGGCCGTATCCCAGCAGACGCATGATAGCTGGATTTTGCACAACTACTCTAGCTTACACAGACTACTTAACGTTACAGCTTGGTGTCAACGCTTCGTCAAATCTGTTATGAAAAGGGAGCACGAGACAACTTTGTACTGTACCGCTTCCGAAAGAAAAATAGCCATGCAATTTTGGGTAAGATTCGTTCAAAATATTCATTTTCCTAACGAAATTTCTTGCCTTAGACAGGGAAAGCAATGTAATTCAAAAAGCAAACTTCTAAAACTAAATCCCATGCTTGACGAAGACGGAATTCTGCGTTTGAATGGACGTCTAAAGAATGCAGTGCTACCCGCTTGTGAACGATTCCCAATAATTTTACCAAAAGAAGTCACTTTAGTAAATTAATGATCTCACACGCACACGAGGCTACGCTTCATGGCGGAACACAGGTCACTCTTCACGCGCTCAGACGACGTTATTGGCTAATTGATGCTCGCACTTGTATAAAAAGTTTTATTCATCGGTGTATAAAATGCTTCCGACAGAAATCATCTGCTGCAACCCAAATAATGGGAAGTTTGCCTGTACATCGATGCACTCCTGCTCCTGCTTTCAAGCATAGCGGTTTAGACTATGGGGGACCTTTTAAAGTACGTGCCACAAAAGGACGTGGTGCTCGCAGCTTGAAAGGCTACGTCGCTCTTTTCGTATGCCTCAGTACACGCGCAATCCACTTAGAGCTGGTAAGCGATATGACCACGGAAGCGTTTTTGGCGGCACTTCGGAGATTCTTTTCTCAACGAGGATACTGCTCCGACTTATACAGCGATTGTGCCACAACTTTTGTTGGCGCCAACGCCTGTTTAAAAGAAGACCTCGTCGCATTCCGAAATCAACTCGAAGCAGGTGCACGATCGGTTGCAGCCAATAACATATCATGGCATTTCATTCCGCCGGGGTCTCCAAACTTCGGAGGTGTATGGGAAGCAGGCATCAAAAGTATGAAGCACCATCTTCGACGTGTTATCGGTGATGCTCTGCTAACGTTTGAAGAGTTTTATACCGTGTTAAAACAAATTGAAGCTGTTTTAAATTCAAGGCCCATCTCGGCTATATCCGATGATCCAACGGACTTTACGGCTTTGACCCCTGGCCATTTTTTGGTGGGCGGACCACTGATTGCACTTCCTGAACCTAATATTTTGGATATAAAGGTGGGACGACTAACAAAATGGAGGCAACTACAACAAATGCAACAGGATTTCTGGAAAAGGTGGAGTGCGGAATATTTGCACGAACTTCAGGCGCGTCACAAATGGCAGATCACAAAAGCTAACATAAAAGTAGGTAACTTGGTGTTGGTTCGAGACGAGCGAGCTCCTCCTACGCAATGGATGTTGGGACGTGTTCTCGAAGTTCACGCTGGCGATGACGCAGCGGTTCGAGTAGCCACCGTAAGAACCCAGTCTTCAATCCTCAAGAGAGCAATATCGAAACTGGTAGTGCTTCCAATAGAGACTGAGTCCGAAGAGTCAAACGGTGGGCGGTCACCCGTCGCAAACGATATTTCGTCGCAAAGGTTGGACGAGGTGGGCGGGAAATGTTGAGAAGCAACCCTGCATCTGCAAAGCACATAGCATGCAACGGCCACCCTCACAGTTTTCGACATTTTCTTTTTGATAGATTATTTTCTCCGGAAGTTGGGTTCGTTTTGCTGCGCTCAAGAGCTGACCTCGTGTTAATTTGCAAAATACTTATCAATTAAATTGTATAAGCTCAAATAAACTTTATTAATCGATATTAAAGAAACAAAACCTGCGCTTCTTTTGATTTCAAACACGGTACATAGAAAGGGGAATGAGCTATGAGCAGGCTAGAGGTAAAGCCAAAGAACCCGTTGGCCCACCACGGAGGGAAAAGAAAACTCTCCAAAAAAGACCTAGGTCTGATAGCTCTACCCCGCAGAGGCGATCCCCGAAGAAATTTGCCAAATCCAGTGAGGGATCTGCAGGGGTCAGGCCAGCTGGGACTGCATCTGTGCCCACCGGGGAGGCAACTGTGCCGCATGCACCTGCAGATTGTCGCGGGGAGCCGGTTTCATTTAGGGATGCACTGTGCGGAGTGAAGCTGGGTTTAGTCCCAGAGGACTATCCAACCACAGTGTGGTCAACGGATGAGCTCAAAGCTATCCAAAATGCCATCCTCAGGGCGGTCAGGAGCAACACAGTTAGCGCTGTAAAGCCTATCTTCAAGGGTTGCACCTTCCACTCGGGATGGCTATCCATCAGTTGCAGAGATGCTGCGACCGCGGGGTGGATACGGAACACTGTTCCAAAGCTGGCACCATGGAAGGGGGCGAAGATGAAAGTGGTCGAGGAGGCAGAAACACCTCGCCGCATCATTCTTGTGGGACTCTTCCCGGAGCTGGACAGCTCTGCCAGTGAGGATGCGCTCAGTCTGCTTCAGGCACAGAATGACGGCCTGAGAATTCCGGACTGGCGCATTCTGAATCGAGTACGCAGGTCAACAATGGCGGAAATCACCATTGCAGTTGACCCGCTATCAGCGGACACGCTAAAGCACCGCGGGAACGTGGTAAACTATAGCTTTGGCGTAGTAAAACTTAGGGAGAAAGCCAAACCGTCGATGCCCGTGGTAGACAAAGATGCCGCCGACACCGAATACCCTAACTCGGAGGAGCAACCTTGCTGCTCCAAAGACGTCATCGTAGCTGCCAGGCAGCTACCCAATGACACGCAAGTGCAGCAGAAGACATCGGAGGTTGGCACAGAGCTACACGTAGCATACAAAGCTCCAACAACGCCTCCGAAAACAGCAACAACAACATGCCCGACCCTACAACAGGTGCTGGAAGAAGCCCATAAAAGCGTCGGACCCATCGCATCCCCAAAGCCTGCAAAACGGCCACCACTACATGGCAGCTCCAAAGCGGCTATGTCCAGCCGCAAAGGCAAGGGAGATGCAAGGACGGCCGAAGAAGCGGTCTTGCTGAAGGGCAACAGGGGGAAGAAGGTGGCTGCTCGCGGCCGAAAAGACCGCAAGTAATGGCCCCTCACCCCAAAAACTCCACAAATCTGAGGCACATTAAATGCCTCCAAGTGAACCTTCACCACGCGAAAGCAGCATCAGATGTTTTACATAGGAGGTTCACAAACGAAGGCTTAGGTCTAGCCTTCATCCAGGAACCCTGGATATTAAGAGGTGACGTCAAAGGCCTTAATATAAAGGACGGTAAGATCATCTATGCCGCCAGCTGTCGCCCAAGAGCGGCGATGCTATTATGTAACAAACTAACGTTTCTCCCTCTTTCACAGTTCATTACGGCAGATCTCGTTGCGGTATGGGCCAAAATTCCTACTCCTAGGGGGTACTTCCCGGGTGAGGAGGAGATAGCCCCGACACCTGAGGTAAAGGCGCTTACGGATCACTGCCGGCAGAGTGGTATACCCTGGATCCTCTGCTGTGATGCAAATGCCCATAGCACTGTCTGGGGGAGCACCGACACCAACAAAAGGGGTGAGTACCTCCTTGAGTTTATAAGTAGTTATAATATAAGTATTATAAACCATGGCAATGAACCAACGTTCAGGAACGGGGAAGTCTTAGATCTTACTCTAAGTAGTCAGAACATGGCAGCGTCTGTCACAAACTGGCGCGTCTCAGGGGAGGTATCAATGTCGGACCATATGCACATAGAATTCGACATTGGCCACTTTCCTGAGCATGAACTAGTTTTTAGAAATCCCAGAAAAACGAACTGGGAATTCTTTCGCTTTATCATGGAAGAAGGTGGAAACAGCCATGGTGGTCAAATTACGACTGCGCACGAGCTTGAAACTGAAGCTGAACAGCTTCATTCAGACATTGGAATAGCTTTCAATAGTAGCTGTCCCCAAGGAAAGGTAAAATCCAAACGTGATGTGCCTTGGTGGAGCAAGAAGCTTGAGCAAATGAGATGCCAAGCCAGAAAACTATTCAATAGAGCAAAGAATACGGGTGATTGGAATCCGTACAAACTTGCACTAACTTCTTACAACAAAGAATTGCGGAAATCCAAAAGAGCTAGCTGGCGAAACCACTGCGAGGAAATAAAGAGCCTCCCAGAGGCAGTACGCCTCCAAAAAGCTCTAAATAGGGAACACAAAAATACGATCGGCACTCTAAAGAAACCAGATGGTAGTTATACTCAGCATCCGGGAGAGACTTGCAGACTTCTGCTAGACACTCACTTCCCGGGCTGCAAAGCGGGCTATTATCTACCGGAATTGGGTGTCCCAGCACGCACTTCTGGTAGAGAGCAAAGCCTTGCAACTAAACTTACCACGGTAGAAAGAGTGCAATGGGCGGTATCTACCTTCAGCCCATACAAATCACCAGGACCAGATGGGGTCTATCCTTGTCAACTCCAACAAGGTAGTAACTACATAGCCCCAGTCCTCTCCAGACTATACAGAGCGTCGCTCCTACTGGGTCACATTCCCAGTAGATGGACTGAGGCTAAGGTGGCATTTTTACCGAAGGCAGGTAAACCGGAGCAAATGCCTTTATCCTACAGACCAATTAGCCTCAGCTCCTTTCTCCTAAAAGGCATGGAGAAAATCTTGGATCAACATATCAGAGAAGTCAACCTAGCGGAACGACCACTGAATAAGAACCAATTTGCCTATCAACCAGGCAAGTCCACTGAGACTGCCATTCACAGCCTTACATCGAAAATCGAAAAGGCTCTGGAGTCTAAGAACATAGCCCTTTGTGCCTTCATTGACATTTCAGGGGCTTTTGACAACACGTCATACAGGGCAATAAGAGATGCCCTGATATGCAAGGGAGTGAGCCCCATCATAATAAATTGGGTGCTTTCTATGCTAAAAACAAGGAAGATCAGGATGGAGCTGGGAGGCACGAAAGAATCGATTACAGCCACATGAGGTTGCCCTCAAGGGGGTGTACTCTCTCCTCTTCTGTGGACTATGGTTATAGACGAACTCCTGTTCCTACTGAACGACCATGGCTTTGAAACACAAGGATATGCAGACGATCTGGTAATTTGTATAACAGGGCTGCATGACGAAATGATCTCCAACCGCATGCAACAAGCCCTGCGCATTACGCAAAGATGGTGTGACACCAAAGGATTATCCATTAATCCTACTAAATCTATTCTGGTTCCGTTTACCCGGAGGAAAAAGTTATCCATGACAGAATTGACTCTGGGCGGCACTAGAATAGGGCTCTCAAATGAAGCAAAATACCTGGGGGTGTGGCTAGATAAGACACTCACCTGGAATGTACATTTGGACGCAACCGTAAACAAGGCAATGAGAGCCTTCTTCGCATGCAAGCGACTTTACGGGAAGACATGTGGACTCTCCCCCAAAATGACTTACTGGTCATTCAACACAGTTGTGAAGCCGATAGTCACCTATGCATCCTTGGCATGGTGGACAAAAGCGACACAAAGAACTGCTAGCGCAAAACTAAGCAAACTACACCGAATGGTGTGCATTGGTATAACAGGGGCTATGCGGACCTGTCCTGCTGATGCACTTAGTGCTCTTGTAGGCATACCGCCCTTCCCAATTCTAATAGAGAGGGAGGCCAGTCTCTCGGCACTGAGAATCCTAAACACTTCCGAGTTAAAAACCGGAAACATGACAGGTCATATGAAGGTCCTTATGAAATTCACAAATGACCCCATAATGCATATGAGGGACTCAGTAGCTCCGATACTAGTAATTTCTAGGAATTTCAAGGTATCTATTGCGGACCGAGCATCCTGGAGCACAGGAAACCCCTACACCAAACCCGGAGCTGAAGTTTGGTACACTGACGGATCAAAACTTGAAGATGGAAAAACTGGAGCTGGTATATTTGGGCCGAATTTTAAAAGATCGATACCAATGGGCAGCTACCCCACCATTTTCCAAGCAGAGATTCATGCGATCGATATCTGTGGCAGAGAATGCCTCAGAAGAGGCACATCCTCTAAAAACATCTGCATTATATCGGACAGTCAGGCTGCCTTGCTAGCACTGAGGTCCCACATAATAACATCCAAACTAGTGTACGACTGCCTCAACACCCTAAACGGTCTTGGAAGCAAGAACACAGTATTACTGGGCTGGGTGCCGGGGCACGAGGGCCATGACGGCAATGAACAGGCGGACCGCTTAGCAAAACACGGAGCTACCACACTATTCCATGGCCCGGAACCCTTCTGCGGGCTCACCAAAGCCCACTTAAGGGAGGTCATAAACAAGTGGGTCGACAAAAAATTCGAAAGGCACTGGAATGAATGTCCGGGGCAAAGACAAGCTAAGCGGTTCATCTGTCCATCACAAGAAG